TATGAATAAAAACACAGTGAAATTTCCCGACAGAAACTTTTTCCTTTGGAAATGTGTCCCCCATACAAGTCATCTGAGGTTGCCCGATCTCAGACTTTTTTCTCATAATCTGGACAGATTTTTTTCTTTGTACTTCCAGCTCTCACATCTGTCAGGAGGGTGAGCAGAGCAAGTCATGTTAAGATACCTGATATGAGTTGTACTCAACATGCCTTCTAAACATTGCCCCAAGTCCAAAGGCAGCTATTAATTTGAGGAAATCTATCCTTCTACTCCAGGTGCCTAGTCAAGTTAAAGTTAGCAATGCTAGGTCAGACCAAACACTACTGGTCAATTCACAACACTGAGGATTTCCAATTTTTTTTTTTTTGAGACAGAGCCTCAAGCTGTCCCCCTGGGTAGAGTGCCGTGGCATTACAGCTCACAGCAACCTCCAACTCCTGGGCTCAAGCGAGTCTCCTGCCTCAGCCTCCCAAGTAGCTGGGACCACAGGCGCCCGCCACAGTGCCCGGCTATTTTTTGGTTGCAGCCATCATTGTTGTTTGGCCGGTCCGGGCTGGGGATTCGAACCCGCCACCTTAGGTGTACGTGGCTGGCGCCTTAGCCGGTTGAGCCACAGGCGCCGAGTCAGGATTTCCAATTTTGAAACAAACTTCAGACACACCTATTAAAGATCATTTAAATGCAAAAGAGAGAGAGAGAAAGGATCATGAACTGAACGTGCTGTCAAGTGCACAGATTCTGAAAAATGTACTTGAAAATGCCCCATCTCCAAAGTACCAGGGAAGTACTGCCCAACAGTTACCTTTCACTCCAGAAGACAGGTCCCTGTACTCATCCCCCACCTTGCCCACATGCCTGAGACCAGGGCAAGTAGACAGGATGCTGGGGGGGGGGCCAGTGCAGAAGGACTATGGACGAAGTAAAGGTAAAAGCACTTGGGACAGTGGTTGCATATCAGAAGTACTCTATTCACATTAAGAATCATATGTGCTAAGGCTCTACAGGGTTGTGAAAACCAGACTAGACGGGACACTACTGCTTTTCTTTATCATGTGCTATTTCCTCAACTACTACTGAATAAAAAATCTTTCTACCTAGCTACTTAATGGAACACTGGAATTTCAAATGTCCAGGATCACACTTTTTTTAGGGACATTATTTATACACATATTTCAAAGCAACATATTTTAGTACGATTGCTAACCACAAGAAATATTAAGGATGTGTTTCCTGGTAACCGCAAACTATAACGACTACAGGTGAATTTTACCTAGTTCACTGCTGAACACTTTGGTCACTGAACAACCCCATCTGATGGCAGGTGCAGAAGAGTGCAAACACTTCCCTGAACTGCAAATACTCCTTTAAAGAAATAAGATAGAAGATGGGGTATCCACATATTTGTACTTTAATATGTGAGGTTTATTTTCCATTCTTCAAAATAAAACAATTAAAACAACATTTAATTTAGATCCGTAAAAGACAGTTTTACTCAAAAGCTACAACATGCCTTGTCTGGCAGAATTATTACTGAATAAATATAAATTCAAATATAAAGTTCAAAGTCTATTTTCAGACTGGGAAAAAGTTAACTGGGCGTCCAAGATGGTTGAGGTAGCTGTCACCACATCATACACTCAAAGCATTCTGCTCTGTTACATGCATGAGTGGCACTGCTAGACAGAATACCCCTTGCTTCTCTGGACCTATGGGCCTTGGTCAGTTTCACTCCTCTCCAGGTCCTTTGATACATGCTGGGAATATGCTTGGCATTTGCAGCCCTGTGGCAACCTCTACGTGAAGTCAGCAGCCCTGTGGCAACCTCTATGTGAAGCTGAGCCTTGGTTTCCATGCTGTCCTGGCTCTGCTGTGCCCCCCAGGCCTGTGCAGCCTGCTTAGTGTTCCCACTGAGTAAATAATAACGTGAATTACTAATAAACTAAATGAATCCATAAATCTATTTTCAACGTCTTTAATGAATTCTTTAACTTCTTCATGAAGTATAATATGTATCTCTAATGGACTTTCATGTCAACTCATTAGTTACATCTTAAATAATAAGCCTTACAGGTGAGAATCATTTTTAATACATAATTTTGTCCAATCTAAACTTCAAGAATTACTCAAAGCATTTGGATGTTTGTTTTCTTGATAGCACAGAATCAGCAATTTCTGTTAACATCTAAGGATGGTAAGAACTTGCTTTCTCAATGGGATTCTGTGAGAAAAGCAAACCTCACTCCTTGGTGCCACCCCAGGGAGAACTAAGAAGACTGCTCCTGTGTCCTGTCTGCATTCTTCTGTAGGGAAACCATGGCTCCAAAAGTCCCAGGACATGTTCTGACAGGCCACGCAAACCCAGACACGATTACCTTCCGAAGACTGTGCTTGTCTGTCCTGAGTCTTTTCCTGGGCGCATCCTCAACTTCAATATCATCTGTAGGGTTCTGTGTCCTCTTTGTGTGGTTTCTTTTTTTCCCATTTAAGTTACCTTGAAATAGAGAGTGGGGGAAATTTTCATGAAAAATACTCCAAATGAAAGCTGCCTTCCAAAGCACTGAAAAGCTACCCAGGACATTCAGTGTATAAACACAGCCCACGATAGATCCCTGTAACTTTATAGATTTCCAGGGCTTACTTCTTACAGATTAACTCTCAACTGATCTATCTAATCTACATGTTTTTACATTGGGGTATTTGCTATAATTACAGTTCAATGTATTATAGCCTTAAGTCAAAGTACAGGGTGGACATAAAGTTCATGTGGAATTTAAACAGTTTGACATCAGCTCGGCACCTATAGCTCAAGCAGCTAGGGCGCCAGCCACACACACTGGAGCTGGCAGGTTTGAATCCAGCCCAGGCCTGCCAAACAACAGTGACAACTACAACCAAAAAAACCCCCCAAAAAACAGCCGGGCATTGTGGCGGGTGCCTGTAGTCCCAGGTACTTGGGAAGCTAAGATAAGAGAATCACTTAAGCCCAAGAGTTGAAGGTTGCTGTGAGCTGTGACACCACGGCACTCTTTCCAGGGCGACAGCTTGAGACTCTGTCTCAAAATAAAATAAAATAAAATAGTTTGACATAGCAAATTGCACATGAACTTTATGGACACTCTGTATAACACATTGTTTTTAAAATAAATATCTTGCTAACATTTAAAGGCATAAGCAATTTAAACTGAACTCTAAAAATAAATATACGGGCAGTGCCTGTGGCTCAAGAGTGGGGCGCCAGCCCCATATACCCAGGGTGGCAGATTTGAACCTGGTCCCGGCCAAACTGCAACAACAACAACAACAACAAAAATATATACAACTTGCCATCATTTATACAATTCCTTAAAGAATCATTTTGAGTAGCAGCACTATATTTGTATCTGCAAGTTAAGGGCTCTTTACAAACGTGCTTGCCTTTGCCGTGAATTAGGTATTTGCAGGAATACCAACTAATCAAGACCCAAAGTGTCCCAATAATGACGTGGAAAGATATCAAGAGAAAAGTGCAGATTCTAGGAAGGTGATGAATTTCAACACACCAGTGTTTATTTTTATTTATTTATTTTGAGACAGTCTCACTTTGTCACCCCTAGTAGAGTGCTGTGGTATCACAGCTCATAGAAACCTCAAACTCTTGGGCTTAAACGATTCTCTTGCCTCAGCCTCCCAAGCAGCTGAGACTATAGGCGCCCGCCACAACGCCTGGCTATTTTTTTGGTTGCAGTTGTCATTGTTGTTTAGCAGGCCCAGGCCAGGCTCGAACTCGCCAGCCTCAGTGCATGTGGCCGATGCCCTACTCACTGAGCTACAGGCGCTGAGCCACCAATGTTTATTTTAACCACAAACCCAGTATTTTCATTGACTACTTTACAAAGGTCTAGGGCTTTTCATTAACAGACTGTTCAGATATCTTAGACAAAGACACTGTTGTCCCAAAGCCTCACTATTACTGAGACAGAACAAACCAACCCAAAAGTGCTAAGCCTCAAGGCACCCAGCAGAGGCCTGGGTGGAGGTACGAGCGCCCTTGTCCTGGGCCCCAACACGAGCAAAGCCTCACCGTGGATCTGGGCCAGAGGTTGCTGCTAGAGGAGAACCAGGCAAGCAGAGAGCTGGGCTGCAAGCAGCCCTCAACACGCTCTGCTCCTATGCCATATAGGCAGTGTCAGGAGAGGCCCAGAGTGGGGGATGGTGAGATCCACTCAGCCAATGCCCGAGCATGAGCACCAAACACCCCAAGAAGTCTGACTCCCCAGAACCCTCCCTCAGCACCTGCTCATTAACCCAGACACCTGCCAGTGGCAACATCAACTTGTGGCCTCATCTTCCCACAGGTGAGGTGAATTCTCAGCTCTCCACATAAGCACATCCCAAGTACCTCTCCCTCTATATAAAATGAGGCAGCAGCTGTTCTTACAGAAATAAGCAGCATGGCCATCTGTCTGAATTTCTAACACTAAGGCGATGTGTTAAGTGACACACAACCATGGCACACAGCCCAGTCACCCTTCTCATTTTGTAAGCTCTCAAGCCAACAGGCCAGGAACTGCCCCTGTGCTAAGGCAATGCACAGAGACTGGCAGGGCAGCTCTGAGCAGTGTGAGAAGGGCAGCTTCACTGGCAGGCACAGGCCTCAAGTCTGACCCTGCCTCTTCCCCCACCTCCACTGCCCCATCACACCTCACATGACCCACTGGCAGCAGTGATGGCAGTGCCTGACCCACAGGTCAAACAGAGGGTCATACAGAGCAGCTCTCACAACCAGCAGGGTAAAAGCAGACAGCAGAAGTTGCTTTTACTGTGACCACAGGCACCCTGGCTGCTGGCCCAAACACCATGGGTCAGAGCTGGGGAGATGGACACGCGTTCCTACAGTTCCAAGACTAGAGCTCAGTCTACTACACTGCATATGTTGCACCTAAGTAGTAAAGGACACGAGCACAGCCTTAGGTTTACCGGAATCTTCTTCAGATGGGGCAGAGGTCACTGGGGCAAACTTGGTGTTATAGCGTGCTTTCTGTTTCTCATTGAGCATATTCCACTGGGATCCAAGCAATTCTTCAATCTCTTCACCTGAAGCATCTGGGTGCTCAGCAACCACCTGTGAACACAGGAAAGGGGTGTAGAAAGGAGTTTAAATACACAAAACTCAGTTTGGTTTGGTTTTGCATCAGATCAAATGCATGGCCCTTCAGATCTTAGTGTGTGGTATTTTTATTCCCTCATCATGAAACTATGTCCTATAAAGCCTTCAAAGAACAATAGTAGGCCTGGCGCCCGTAACACAGTGGTTAAGGCACTGGCCACATACACCAGGGCTGGTAGGTTTAAACCTGGCCTGGGCCTGCTAAACAAAAATGACAACAACAACAACAAAAACAACAAAAATAGCTGGGTGCTGTGGCAGGCACCTGTAGTCCAGCTACTTGGGAGGCTGAGGCAAGAGAATCACTTAAGCCCAAGAGTTTGAGGTTGCTATGAGCTGTGATGCCACAGCACTCTACTGAGGGCAACACAGTGGAGAGTCTGTCTCAAAAAAAAAAAAAAAAGAACATTTAATTGATGATGTGACTCACTGAAAAATCAGAAATGAAAAGAGTGCCAGTAAAAACAATGCAACCATATTTATGTAAATGTAGAAAATGATAAACACAGAAAGAGAAAAATATATACTTTTCCAAAATAATTAAATCATTTGTAAGACATAGTTTCTAGGCATCCTTGAAAAACCAACTGTAGTGTGAGTCCTACAGAAGAGCCCCTCTGAGCATGGAGGTGAGGCTCAAGCTGGCTCTCCCCACTGGCCACAGTGCCCACCTTCCAGGCATGAGCCCTGGGTGGGCATTAAAAGTTGTACACCTGGTGGTGTATGCCCCGATCTGTGATAGGCCAAGCTCACACACGGAAACAACCACTGCACCATCAAGAGACAGGGCTTCCCTGGCCTTCCAGGCATACTGGGGCTGCTGGGCTCAGCCCTTGGGAGTATGCTAGAAACAGGCTCCCAAGCCCTGCTTAAGCCCCTGCTCAAGCCCTGCACAGGAATCTGCATTTTCACAAGGTCTCCAGGAGATTCATGAGCCCATGAAGTTCCCAACACTCCAGGAGATTCATGAGCCCATGAAGGTCCCAACACTGGGCCTTCAGCCTTGGCTGCACATGGTGACAACCTAGGAGTTTAAACACCTATGGTCTTGGTGACAACCCAGGAGTTTAAACACCTATGATGCTTGGGTCCCACCCAAGACCAACCCAATCCAGCGGGCCTGGCACAACTGCTTTAAAAATTTCTCATGGGCTGCTAATGTGGCCCCAAATTTGAAAGCCACAGGTACTAAGAGCAGGGGAGAGGCTCGACACCTATGGTTCAAGTGGCTAAGGCGCCAGCCATATAAGATGTAAGATATAAGAATCCAGCCCAGGCCTGCCAAACAATAATGATGGCTGCGACCAAAAAATAGCTGGGCGTTGTGGCGGGCACCTATAGTCCCAGCTACTTGGGAGGTGAAGGCAGGAGAATCGCTTGAGCCCAGGAGTTGCAGGTTGCTGTGAGCTGTGATGTCACAGCACTCTACCCAGGGCAACAGCTAGAGGCTCTGTCTCAAAAATAAATAAATAAATCAAATAAGAGCAGGGGTGAGGGTCCAAATCTGACCCAACCTGTTTCTGTGCAACCCATGAGCTAAGAATAGTTTTTATACTTTTAAATGTTTGAAAAAATTCAGAAGACGGGTGTGGTGTCTCATGTCCTATAATCCTAGCACTCTGGGAGGCTGAGGTGGGTGGATAGCTTGAGCTCACAAGTTCAAGACCAGCCTGAGCAAAAGTGAGACCCCATCTCTACTAAAAATAGAAAAAAAAAAAAATAGAGGCAAGGGGATCACTTAAGCCTGAGTTGGAGGTTGCTGTGAGCTATGATGCCATAGCACTCTACCCAGGGTGACAGCTTGAGACTCAAAAAAGATAATAAATCAGAAGAATATTTCATGATATGAAAAAATTAAAGGCAATTTAAATATCAGTATCCTAGACGTATCACAAGAATGGAAAAGCACGTAGCCAATGTACTCAATACTAATATGAAGCCAGTAGATGATCTAATACATACCAACACAAGAGAAAAACCCCTGCCTGCTTCACTGGCAGCCACAGGCCTTAAGTCTGACCCTGCCTTCCCCCCACCCCTGCTGTCCCATCACATCTCACATGACCCATTGGAGAGGGAAGGGAAAGGAAGGAGGGAGGGAAGGGGAAGGAAAGGGAAGGAGAGGATTGGTATACTCCCACCGAATGGGCACAATGTAATGGTATGTGGCACATCTCCTGGGTGTGGAACACAACTACAACAGGGACTCTACCTAACAAATAACAAACATTGTAACCTAATTATTCCCTCGCATTCATCTGAAATTTTTCAAAAAAGAGAGAAAACAAAAGCAAATATCTGCATCCATGAACAAAGCTGTATTGGAGCACAGTGCCACATGTTTGTTTCTGTGCTATCTGTAGCTGTTTCCTGGCTCTGGCAACTGAGTTGAGCAAACACCTCACTGCTCAACTTGAACAGGACAGACACCTCACTGCCCACAAGGTCCTGAAAACAGACTGCCCACTGGCTGAGAGCACTGGCCAGCATACTCTGGAACCATACCCAGCCAGATAACAGCTCACTCTCAGCAGCTGTGCGAACGTGGGCAAGTGAAGGTGTTGTCTCCACCTTTCCTCTGGGAAGCAGGGGCAGCAACATGCCACCTGGCATGGTACACAATCAGAGTTAACGTCACTGGTCACCACCACCACTCACCCAGGGGTGTTCAACCTACAGCCCATGGAGCCACATGTAGATTATTTGAGGACTGTTTTGCTTATCTGAGGTGTTAGATATCACAAAAAGTATGCATAGACTCTTTTCTTTTGCTTATCAGCTGTTGTTAGCATTTGTGTATTTAACGTGTAGCCCAAGACAACTCTTCTTCCAATGTGCAGCCAATACAGGTAACTTCTGGCCCAAAACTCAAACCCCTCCTCACAAAGCAGTCACACAGACAGCTTCTAGTGGCCTCCCCTGCCACCTGCACAAGTCAGGTGACCACCCCTCCAGCCTTCTTTCTGCTGTTGCTATACCCCTGCCTGGACACCAACACCACTTGCCCACCGCTGCTCCAGACAAGGGCAAATCCCACCTGCAGTCCCCCCAGCCTGTCTGTGGCCTCCTGCCACCAGGATATCTTTTTTTTTTTTTTTTTTGAGACGGAGCCTCAAGCTATCCCCCTGGGTAGAGTGCCATGGCATCACAGCTCATAGCAACCTCCAACTCCTGGGCTCAAGCGAGTCTCCTGCCTCAGCCTCCCAAGTAACTGGGACTACAGGCGCCCGCCACAATGCCCAGCCATTTTTTGGTTGCAGCCATCATTGTTGTTTGGCGGGCCCGGGCTGGGGATTCGAACCCGTCATCTTAGGTGTATGTGGCTGGCGCCCTAGCTGCTTGAGCCACAGGCACCGAGCCACCACTAGGATATCTTTTGCAGTTCCAGCTCTGCTTCTGACCCCAGCACTCACTATTGTTCTCCTAGGAGGGTATGTTCCCACCTGCCCCTGACTGGGCATTTCTAGCCCCTGTCACTCCCCTCCTAAACCTATGGGGCTCTGTCCTGCCTATTGTACCCACTGCCGAGCTCGCCAAGCATCAAGGGCCACCTCAAACTGTCATCCGGCGAAGATTCCTGAACAGGGCTTCAGATCCACAGGGATCCTTTCCCAGGCACCCCACATGCAGCACATTTCTTTGTAGCCTGCTAATCTCATTCGGCCACTGCCCCCAATTAGTATGAGTGATAGTATCTACAGCTTAAATGCTACTTCTCAAGTTGTAAACGCTATTAGTACAGAATTAGGACAGGTTAAAGAAGCAATCTTAGAAAATGAGGCTACACTAGACTACTTATTACTGATTCATAACCATAGAGGCTAAGATTTCAAAGATGTGTTATTTTGTCAGAGGATGATGATTAATTTTAAAAATATAAACTATTAATAATACAATCTAAGAGAACGCAAAGAAAAAGATTTTTTTAACACTTAAGTACTGGTTCCCGGACACTGGCTGGCCACACACAATAATAACCGTGTTGGGAGTAGGGAGGTCCTCCTGTTAGCCCTCCTCACATGTTACTGTGTATGTTGCTGTGTATAAAACAAGCTTGCTTTCCTGTTTACTCACTGTGTTGGTTTTAAACTAAAGTGCCTTATAGCTGGGTGCCATGGCTGTAGCTGTAATCCTAACACTCTGGGAGGCTAAGGCAAGAAGATCACTTGAGCTTAGAAGTTGAAGACCAGTCTGAGCAAGAGAAAGACCCCATCTCTACTAAAAGGAAAAAAGAAAACTTAGCTGAGCATCATTGTTCATGCCTGTAGTCCCAGGTACTTGGTAGGCTGAGGGAAGAAGATCACTTGAGCCCAGAAGTGTGAGGCTACAGTGAGCTAGGCTGATGCTACAGCACTCTAGCCTGGATGACAGAGTGAGACACTGTCTCAACAATGACAAAAATGCCTTATAATCCCAAAGTTAATACTTAAACACAGCCATTATTTCTATGTCAAAAAAATTGGGGATCCATAAATATAAACCTGTAAACGATAACAGCAGGAAGTTAAAGTGGCCAATGACCATTACGTATCAGGCACAGCTGGACAGGCCCATGCACCACTATCTGGAGCTGTTTATTCATGTATAAAACTTTGTTACAGATAAAATTAGGAAACTGGACACTCCAAAGACCCTGGTGTCAGTAAAAGACCAAGTGCACAAAGTACATGGAGTGGTGACAACTGTAAATTCAGTCTAGAGAGAAATCTCTGAATATGCAACCACACCAAGATAGATGTTGTGTAATCTTGTAACCTATGAGAAAAAAATCTGTTTACTATATACTATGATGATTAATAACACTGTTGATGCTTACTTCTACTGTAAGAGTATAAAAGTGACAAAGAGAATCAGGAAAACACAACAGCCTTGAGGAGATATCCTCACTGTTCTTCAAAATTGCTGGCTTTTGGGGCAGCGCCTGTGGCTCAAAGTAGTAAGGCACCAGCCCCATATGCCGGAGGTGGCAAGTTCAAACCCGGCCCCGGCCAAAAACTGCCAAAAAAAAAAATTTGCTGGCTTTTCTGTAAATAAAAACAAAATTATTAATCTCTTCACCCACTTAGGTGACATGAACACTATAAAAAAAAAAGGCTTTTAAGCCCTAGACTTTAACTCATTCAAGTAATAGCTAAAATAACCAAAAATGGAAACCTAATTCTTCTGGTTCTTTAAAAGGAATTGAGTCTATGTACTTAATAGATTGTATATTTTATGAAAATGATTAAGAAAATTATTTAAATGCTTTAATCATATTACTTTTTAAATATCATGGAAATACGTCTTCAACATACTGTATCTTGCTGTGTATAACGCTCTCCCATGTTTTTAGTCCAAACTTTCAAGAAAAATAAATCTTTCACTTTAATTCTTTTTTTTTTTTTCCCTGAGACAGAGCCTTAAGCTGTCCCCCTGGGTACAGTGCTGTGGCATCACAGCTCACAGCAACCTCCAACTCCTGGGCTCAAGCGAGTCTCCTGCCTCAGCCTTCCAAGCAGCTGGGACCACAGGCACCCACCACAATGCCTGGCTATTTTTTGGTTGAGCTGTCATTGTTGTTTGGTGGGCCCCGGGCTGGATTCGAACCTGCCACCTTAGGTGTATGTGGCTGGCGCCTTAACCACTTGAGCCACAGGCACCGAGCCCATTTTAGTTCTTTAAAGGAGGGTAGAATTGGCCTCATGGTGGCACCTCCTCTCTTGAGAGGCATGAGGTTCAATGCTAACTGCTATGGAAGAAGCTGGGAGTGAGTCCAAGAGGTAGGTGAGAATAGTCTGGATAACCGGAGCTATCCCCTCCCAGCCTGCCCTCATCCCCATGTCCTCTCATTTCCTATCCCACCTCTGTCCACTGGTGGGAATGTGGCCACGGACAGTCCGCTGTGAACCCAGAGGGTTTACTGCCTGGGAACTTGGTGTTTGGGTCCAGGACTGGCCCTGTCTATTCTGGGTTCCTGACGGTAGATCCTTGCCCTTTCTGGGCTGCCTCGGCTCTCGCTCAGCTGGTCCCACTCTGAGGCCCCCAGGATACCCTGTTCAGGAAGATGTCATACACCCCAGTGAAGTACCCTGCATTTACATTTCTGTTTAGTGACTAGACCATGACTTCTTTGAGCCATGTAGACCCTGGGCACTCAGTAACATCAAAATAAACACCACCAGCCTTCCCCAAACTTGGAAGTCCTACAAATCACCCAGGGGATTAAACTTATCACACCCAAATACACTAAATCACCTCTCTAAGAGAAAGAGCTGGGTACCTGTTCTCTTAACAGGCATCTTACTATGCTCGGTGCCCGTAGCACAGTGGTTACGGCACCAGACACATGCACCAAGGCTGGTGGGTTCAAGCCCAGCATGGGCCAGCTAAACAACCTTGACAACTGCAACAAAAAAATAGCTGGGCATTGTGGTGGGTGCCTATCGTCCCAGCTAGTTGGGAGGCTGAGGCAAGAAACTCCCTTGAGCCCAAGAGTTTGAGGTTACAGTGAGCTGTGACGCCACAGCACTCTACCGAGGGTGACATAGTGAAACTTTGTCTCAAAAAAAAAAAAAAAAAAAACAGGCATCTTAGATGATTCTTCCCACTGGCAACTTTGGGAAATTATACCCACTGAACACCTTGGGGGTTCAGACAAGTCATAGGCTCAAAAGTACAATCTAAGGGCTCAGGTACCCCCTAGTTTTTGTGCTTTACTACCAGATGCCATCACAGACAGAAACTTCATGGGGACTGAGGCCCAAGGTCTCCCAGACCCTTACTCAGGGAAGATCCCTGAGCACGGGGTCCTGGGGGCCTCAGAATAAGGCCAGTTGCATAAGAGATGAGGGAGACCAGAAAAAGGAGGGGTTTACTATCAGGAGCCCAGGCCCCTCACACCAACTTCCTGGGCAATAAGCCCCCCAGGTTCCCACCAAGGGACAGAGATGGGAATAGGAAATGAAAGGATGTGGGGGCAAGGGTGGGTCAGGAGAGGATAGTTGAGGGCTGCTGGGTGTTCAGATCATCCCCAGACCACTCTCACCTACCACCTGGGCTTGCTCCCAGCTTCTCTACAACAGCTGGCTCCATGCCTTGCACCTCTCAAGAGAGAAGGAGGCACCACTGTACAGCCACTTTTGTCCTCCTTTTGCCAAGGTCCTGACGCTAATGGTTACATTGCCATCAGCAGCATACCTGCTTCCAAAGTCCCAGCAGCAGAGGTGGTGGCACTTGGCATAATTGCCTGGGTAGGCTGAGGCTCCTGTAGCTGTGGTGAGTGCCCAGTAAGGAGGCAAGAGAGGGTAGTGTGAAGAGGGCACAATTACCACATACCATAATTACCATATGGAAATCGTTATTGCTTTCTAGAGTTACACTTTTAATGCATAAGCATAAATAAAAGAATTTAAAACATTTATATGATACGGAATTAGTACTACCCACTTATAATGTACATCCTTATTTTTCCCTCAAAAATTTGGGCCAAAAAGTAGACGTTATTGTACATGCGAATTTAGTACTCAATACTAGTAAATACAATTCTATGAAAGAGCACACTCCATAATGGAGGAAGCTTCAGAAAAGCCAGCTGGAGAAACGCTAACCCAGAGTCAGATGTTAAGGAAAAGACTGAGGTTCCCAGAAAGAGCAGACCTCCTTCTACTCCCCCTTCTGAAACCCCTTTCCCACTGTTCCTGGTATCTTCTCACCCGCATTGGGAGGAACACTTTAGTAAACCCAGTTCAAAGGCAAATTATTTTGCCCAAGGGTCAAGATGGCTATTCTCTAAGGGTACTTATCAGACCTACAATCTATGCAATGCTCACTATGGACTGTTGACAGTGAGAAACAGGTGCAGAGCGATGAAGTGATGCTCTGCAAGGGCAAAAAACCTGTGGCATGAAACCCACTAACTTGGATGGAGCACTGACCTCATCCCTGTGCTTTTGACAGAAGACCAAAAACTGGGATGCTGCATCTCCCTTCCTGCTTCGTGGAGTGGAGGCCGTGGTCTTCTTCCTCCCAGGAGGAGACCCTACTCCTCTTTTGGGGTCTGCCTCTGCCATCTTTTGGGGAGAGTTCCTTCCTGTGCCAGGATCACTCTCCTGATTTTCAGCAGACCCAGACAGTTTGGTTCTCCGCCTTCTCTTCACAGGAATGGCCTCTTCTCGCACAAACTTGGGGTTTTCGGCAGTTTCCTCACTGACTTCTGAAGCTCCTGCCATTTCTCCTGAAAACTCCACAGCAATGCCAGCCTCCTTCGCCACTTGAGGGTTGAGATGAAGCTGGTCCCCCACATAGACAAATGTGAACTTGGCCTTCCGTTCCTCTACCGACATGCTCGCAGCCTCTTCTGCTTGAACAATGCCCATTTCCCACTGGGCCCTCAGTTTCCCTGAAATAGGTTTCAAGAGCTAAAAAGAAAAACACAAGACATTATAAGTCTGTTATATAAACATAAAAGTTAATTCATTTTAAAAAAGCATACTTTCACAATTTCAGATAAATTTAGGAATCAAAAACTATAAAACACAATTAATTTAGAAGGTTTCAGACAGAATTCAGTCCAACATAACTTTTTTTTTAAAGACAGAGTTGGCTCTGCGCCTATAGCTCAAGTGGCTAAGGCGCCAGCCACATACACCTAAGGTGGTGGGTTCGAATCCAGCCCAGACCCGCCAAACAACAATAATGCAAGACGGCCCCCTCTGTAAGGAATGACTCC